GCCCCCTAAGTGAGCTAATTGCCGATAGGCTTTGCTCAATTGAAGACGAAAACCGAAAATAGGAGTTAATACATTTTCACCCTCGTTTGAAATATTTCCCCAGGATTTGGCGGGAAAATGTAATAAAGTAATGGGGCACGTGTCAGTCATCGAAGTATGGTGTTTTGAAAAGGCGTTTTATTACACCCGTTGGATTGCATGTAGTAAATGTCACATCAACCGCTTCACTTGGACAGTATAAATAGAAAATTTCATACTTTTAACCCCTTCATCTTTCTTTGCGAAAAAAAATTTCGAAAAATTTCCACTTCATTTCAGTTGTAGTTCGCACATATTTCTGCGATTCAAGAGTCGATTTGTCGAAGGTTTGGTCAGTTGTTTTTATACCGGTGTTTGTAAACGAAGGACATTTGATTCCGGAGTTACGCTTTCAAGAGTTGAGTTCAAAAGAGGTAACAAACCCTAACTTTGTTTTCGATTTCTCACTGGTTTGTGGTTAAGTAGATTTTGCGTTTATTTCATTTTTTGTAAATGTCTGGTTCTGGAATGCCTGCGAATACGGGTAAAGCCAATGAGGCTGAACTCTGTACACCCTTATCTTCTTGTCTGGGTTATGATATTTATGGACTTTCCCCTTACCTTGAACTTATTTCGGAGTTTGCACTGGATAAAGAGAGATAGCCAGTCACCCGGATGGTGGTCTCTTTTTACTGCTCCCGGGAAATGCACCGTGTGGCCAAAATTGACCAGTTGTAAGAACTGGAAGAAAGAATTTTATTTTTTATGAGTGTTCCCGATGATTTTACCGTCCGTAGGACATTTTACCACCCTCATAGTATGTTCGAGACCATACGGTCGAGAGCGTTAGGAAAGTTGGAGAAAAAAGCTTTTAGATGGTTTAACTGTACATATGTTAGTGCTGGTAAGAAGAATAAAGTTGTTCCGGGGGTGTGGTTGCCCCATTGTAATTATATACTAGGCAACGCCCCTCTATCTCATGTCGGTCTCTGCCATACCGATGCATTTGCTATGGAAATGTTTATAAATTATATACATTTACTTATATTTATCTTTACTGTATTTATGCTTTGCATTAGAAATTAATTTTGATAAGTGTTTTTCCTGCTTATTCTCTTACCTGGCTGCGTTTATTTTACTTATGACTGTTCTCTCTCTCTCTTTTTTTTTTTAAACGTCTATGTTTACCTTTATAATGTCGGTGTATTGATGTTTGTTATCAGGTGATTTTACCACCAGGTATTGACAAACTCGACTACAACCGACTAGGGTTGTATCCTGACGGGAGAGTGAAGCAACAGTGCCCAGATCGGCCAAAAAAAGTCATACGACACCCTTCCCGTTTTCGCCACAAGAGCCTAAAAAAAAAAGAACGAGACAGCAAGACATGGCTCCTACCGAATGTGTTGTCAAACCCCGTACCCTAGCAGTGAAAAGGGTTGGCGGCAACGCGTCAAAAAGGACGTCTGGGTCCTCCGACCGAGAGCAACAAAAGAAACAGAAAAAACGAGATGGCGATTCGGCACCTCTCCATCAGGAGGCACAAGAGACATGGCCGGAAGGGGTCGTAAATCTGGAGGACGAGACCGATCCCCATCCTCCGAAAAAGCTGACAGTCACCTTAAGGGATCCAACTGGTCCTAGGGCTAGCAGCAAGGCCAGAACCTACCAGGTGGCCAACATCAACAAGCCTCCGAGCAAGGAGAATCTAACGGTCATCTCGACACGCTCTGGCGGCCCCAGCAAATTTGCTTTCTTCCCGGCTCTTGTCGGTGACTTCATCGAGATTTCGCATGTCAGAATCCCGGAAGAAGTTGCTAACGAGTTAGTTGTACCCTTTGGTGCTGCCGGTGATCCATGGCATCCCCAGATCAATGTTAACCGTGGCGAGTCTGTTCTCTGCGACGATCCTAGCACTGGCGGGAGCATGGGCTAGAGGGTGCTAAAGGATTTGGCGACGCCAGCCGACAGGCCTGTCAACCGCGTTGCTGCCCCTTGCGACCAGCTAATGAACAACATGCTCTGGGTAAGACAGCAAAGAATCCTTGTTATTTTATTATGTTTATTTACATATGTACTATTTATGTGACTAACGGCCATTTTAACATTATCTCCAGACCGTCAACTCTGCCGTGGAGGTGGTACATGGTACCAGCACTACCAGCGTGCTGCTGATCAAGCCGAGACGAAGCTGAAGAAGGCGGACGATGCTTGCAAGGCCATTATCAAGGAGCGTGACAAGGTGAAGACCGACATGAAACTTTTGCAGAAGCAGATGTCGGACCTAAACAAAAAGCTTCAGAACCAAGAGCAGTTGCAGAAGAAGGTATCTAGCCTTGAGCAAAGTCTGGAGGATGAGAGAGAGGCTAAGGCGGCGCTGGCCGGCAGAGTGGAAAAGATGGAGCGTGAAAATCCAGGACTCAGACGCCGAGCCGTTAACCGGTTCCTACAGACTGATCTTTACGCTAACCTGCTGGTTAATCGGTATACTGTCGGTTGGGTCTCCGCGCATCGCTGTGTGTGCAAAGCTGAGGGGTGGGACTCGGCAAAATGGCTGGCCGTCGAGAAGGCTTTTAATGAGGAACTCTCCTACCAGCTATGAGAGTGAATATTTTTGACGAGCTCCCACCACATTCTGTGATAACAAACTTAGACCCACGTGAATTGCCAGAAGTGGAGTTTGATGCCGCCCTTATTAGTAGCCCTGTTACCACTCATGCTAGTAAAGATGGGTCTGTCGGTCCCTCCAACAATGAAGCTAACAAAGAGCCCGGTAAGGCGGCTGAAACAGCAGGGGAGGCCAACAAGGATTGACAAGGAGGGTAGTCACCATTGGATTTATGTGGGCCATTTGTTCTGTAACCGTTCTCTGTATTTAGAACAATTATCTCTGTCTGTATCGTACAATATTTTTCTTTTAATGTTGGATATATAGCCGATCAGATACTTTGACTTTTGAGTGATTGGTTTATTTTATGTATTACTATAATTCTTGCTATCGTGTGTTTCCTGTTTATATTATGGTCGTTATTTATTTTTTATTTTTTATATATGTATTTTTTATATCTAATATTTGATGCTTGTATATCTTGAATCGTTTTCTCGGTTTTTAATACTCTATTCTCGGTATTTTAAAGTTATCCATTACCTATACTCCCCAAGAATTTCGGCAAATTTTATTCGTAAATAAAATTTGGGAAAACTCTTTAATACCTGTAATAAACTTTGTTCTCGGTATTTTAAAGTTACCCATTACCTATACTCCCCGAGTTTTTCGGAAAAATTTATTCGTAAATAAAATTTGGGAAAACTCCGTAATGCATGTAATTAATTATCGGATGTGAAGTATACCGAGATTACATATCCAACCTTTATCAGGCCGAGCAAAGGCAGTGGATCAAACTGCACTTTCAACTCCCCTTGAGGTCCATTAATATCCATTCATTCTTTTTTCTCACTTGAACGACCGAGTCAGCTAGCTAGGCTGTGATCAGATCGTATCGAAAGTAGGTAGAGTGATTGTATTTCATAGGTACTAAAACAGTTTACAATGCTAGTGAATACCATAAACGTACGCATGACAACATGTCATCTAAATTTATACTACGCAAAATAGATCACATTAAGCTTTACATGAAATACTTCTTTAACACACCAGCGTTCCAAACATTCTTCAGGGGCATTCCTTCTAGGGTCATTAGCCGATAAGACCCTTGCCGAAGTGTTTCATATATTTGATAAGGCCCCTCCCAAGTTGCAGTAAGTTTTCCCTCTGCGTTCCCTTTGTCGGTTGCGGCCGTTCTACGCAAAACTAAGTCTCCATCTTCCATGGGCCGATAATTGACGCGCCGATTATAAGAATGGCTCATCCGGTTTTTGTATGCAGCAGATTTTATGGCGGCCGTCAGCCTCACTTCCGGTAGAAAATCCAATTGCTGTCGAAGCAGCAAATCATTTTGACTTTCACAGAAGTGTTGTACGCGGAAAGTAGGCGGTCCCACTTCCGCCGGAACCACTGCTTCCGAGCCGAAAGCAAGGTTAAAAGGTGATTCCCCCGTAGTTTCTCTCGTTGTCGTACGATTTGCCCATAAAATCTTGGTTATCAGATCCGCCCACAGGCCTTTGGCGTCCTCCACCTTTTTCTTGACTGCCCCTAGTATTTTCTTGTTAGCGGCCTCGGCTTGCCCATTTGACTGCGGGTGACATACCGCCGCATACGCAAATTTTACTTTATAAATGCTGAGAAAATTTTTTACCGGACCACAATCAAATTGAGAGCCGTGATCAAACACCATTGCAGTCGGCAATCCGAATCGGGTGAAGATGCTCTTCCAGATGAACTTCTTCCCCTCGTTCGCTGTGATCTTTGCTACCAGTTCCGCTTCTATCCACTTGGTGAAGTAGTTTATCCCTACAATAAAAAATTTACGGCCACCCTTTGCTGACGTGAACGGCCCGATAATGTCCATTCCCCATTGAGCGAACGGAATTGGGTTAAGAATGGGTGTTAAATCATTTGGAGGTTGATTAATCACCGGCCCATACTTCTAGCATTTATCGCATTTTTTAACGTACTCAATGGTGTCTGCGTTCATTGTCGGCCAATAGTAGCCCCGTTTCACTGCCTCCAGCGACATTGACCGACCCCCCGCATGATTACCGCAATCGCCCTCATGTATTTCTTCTATCAGCCTTGCCGATTCGTACGCCGTTATACACCTTCGCAATGGTAGTGAAAACCCCCGTTTATACAATGTGCCCCGAAACATAATAAACCAAACGTTGTCCTTCTTGATCTTTCTCGCCTCAATCTTATTGGTGGGCAGGACGTTGTGTACTTTGTAAGCTAAGATTTCGTCATACCATTCTCGACCTTCGCTTGTACAATGTACATTTTTGGGAGAATGTTCATCAATACTCTTTTCTTTCAAAATTTCTACCATCACCGTCCTCTCTAAATCGTTAAAGCTTGAATTGCAAGTTTAGCCAACGCGTCTGCCTGCGTGTTCATTGCTCGAGGAACCAATTTTATTTCGAAATACTCCAGATTAGATGTAACACTCTTGAGTTTTGCCAGATATGCCGTCATGCTCGGCTCTCGAGTTTCGTAAGTGCCAGTAAACTGATTTGCCACCAGTTGCGAGTCAGTTGTCATCTCAATACGCTTTGCTTCCGCAGATATGCATAGCTGTATTCCTGCCAAGGCTGCTTCATACTCTTTCTCATTATTCGAGGCTTTGAATTTGAACTTGACAGCATACTCGAACACATCTCCTTGGGGAGAGATCATAATTACTCTAGCCCCTGAGCCGGTTGAAGCAGATGAGTCGTCAACTGATACCTTCCATGTGTCGGTACCCTCCTCTTCTTCATAATAAGATGTTTCTACAATGAAGTCAGACAAGGCTTGGGATTTGATTGATACCCTTGGTTTATACGTAATAACGTATTCAGACAATTCAATCGCCGGGTCTAGACTTGGAACTGGTCCCACCGGTTCCGAGTCCGGGTCCAAAAATTAAGAACCGGTTGTAACCGGTTTCGGTTCCAATTTTTGAAAAATTGGACCTGGTACCCGGTGGGTACCCGGAACGAGTTCTTCAAGTCATCTAAAATTTTGGAATTCAGTAAACAAAATAAATATTGGGCCTTTTTTGTTATTACCAGCCCACTTACTCACAACCCATTCATCTTATAAGGAGTACTTATTATTAAAACCCTAAAATTACTCTTCACCGCCCACCAAATGCACCATCTTCACAAATTTCACCAGCCAATATCACCTAATAATTCATCAACCACCCTTTTCCATATTCTTAGATCTATATCAAATTCTTATTTTTTTTATTTTTTGTTTTTTTTTTGACGAAAAACATATTATGAACCTGTTCTCTCTTACAAATTCTCATTCATGGCATATGAAGAAGTCGGAACCACCACCACATCAACGAAGAACACGTCAATGTTAAGAGAATGAGAGAAGAGGTGATAGTTAAGGGCGGTGACCCGAAGAAGAAGCTCGATTATATATTAAATTATAATTTATATAGATTATTTGACTCATACTAATTTGGTAGTGTATAATTCATGTATTGGTTAGATTTTAGATCTTAATTTGTTCATCTCAATATTCTGGAAATTTTCTATGGTTTCAAGTTTTTTAATGGCTGGTCAACTATAACACCGGGTACCCGGTTCTAGAACCGGTACCCACCGGTTCCGGGTCTAAAATTTTGGGACCCGGTTGATACCGATTCCGGGACCAGTTGCAAAATCTTAGACCCGGTACTAACCGGTTCCAGGACTGGGTCCTTAGTTTTTGACCGGGTACCCGGTTTTGCTCACCCCTAATATTCGTCCCATGTTATGAGGAGTACGTTTAACCATGTGTAATTCAATTCTTTCTACATTTGAATTATATGTTGTACCCTAATTATTGATTTGTTTGTGTATTGTGAATTTATGTAGGTTTCATTGGTTCCTCATGGTGATTTGTCTAGCTAATAACACAATCTTTCACCTTGATTCAGCTCGATCAACAAAGAAGTGCCTCGTGATGTCTGTACTACAAAAGTAAATATAGCTATCTAGTGTTGATTATCTTAACCTAACTCATTTAGTAGTCAAACTAATCAAATTAGAATTTACTTTCTTATAGTATTATGAAGAAGATACATGGTCGTGCTCCACGGGGTCCTACATGGAAATCACCTATGGTAATGCCACATCATATTGTGATTATCTTAATAAACATTGCTAAAACAATTGTGGATTTTATGTGACGTTTGATTCATTTGATTTGTTCCTATGCTAGTGCCCACAACAAGATAATGAAGTTGATTGTGGATTATACGTGATGAGATTCATGCTTGACATAGCGACTCATTGTACCAATACCATACATCTTGGTGAGGTACGGCCTTAAACTTAGAAAAATGCTCTTTTAACGTGATTTCAAGGCTTAGCAACCTATAACTAAGTATAATTGACATGTAATGAGAAAAAACATGGTCATTAGTTAAAAAATGTAGAAAATGGGCAAGTAGAAGTCATTTAGGCCTTAATTAGGCTATTTAGGAAGAAAATGCGACCTTAAACTTAGAAAAATGCTCTTTTTACGTGATTTCAAGGCTTAGCCATATGTTATGAGAACGAACATGGTCATTAGTTAAAAAATGTAGAAAATGGGCAAGTAGAAGTCATTTAGGCCTTATTTAGGCTAATTAAGATGAAAATGCGACCTTAAACTTAGAAAAATGCTCTTTTTACGTGATTTCAAGGCTTAGCCACCTATAACTAAGTACAAATGACATGTTATGAGAAAGAACATGGTCATTAGTTAAAAAAAGTAGAAAATGGGCAAGTAGAAGTCATTTAGGCCTTATTTAGGCTATTTAGGATGAAAATACGACCTTAAACTTAGAAAAATGTTCTTTTTACGTAATTTCAAGGCTTATCCACCTATAACTAAGTATAAGTGACATGTTATGAGAAACAAAATGGTCATTAGTTAAAAAATGTAGAAAATGGGCAAGTAGAAGTCATTTAGGCCTTATTTAGGCTATTTAGGATGAAAATGCGACCTTAAACTTAGAAAAATGTTCTTTTTACGTTATTCCAATGCTTAGCCACCTATAACTAAGTGTAATTGACATGTTATGAGAAAGAACATGGTCATTGGTTAATAAAATGTAGAAAATGGGCAAGTAGAAGTCATTTAGGCCTTATTTAGGCTATTTAAGATGAAAATGCGACCTTAAACTTAAAAAAATGCTATTTTTACGTGATTTCAAGGCTTAGCCACCTATAACTAAGTATAATTGACATGTTATGAGAAAGAACATGATCATTAGTTAAAAAAAATGTAGAAAATGGGCAAGTAGAAGTCATTTAGGCCTTATTTAGGCTATTTAGGATGAAAATGCGACCTTAAACTTAGAAAAATGCTCTTTTTACGTGATTTCAAGGCTTAGCCACCTATAACTAAGTATAATTGACATTTTATGAGAAACAACATGGTCATTAGTTAAAAATGTAGAAAATGGGCAAGTAGAAGTCATTTAGGCCTTATTTAGGCTATTTAGGATGAAAATGCGACCTTTAACTTAGAAAAATGCTCTTTTTACGTGATTTCAAGGCTTAGCCACCTATAACTAAGTATAAGTGACATGTTATGAGAAACAACATGGTCATTAGTTAAAAAATGTAGAAAATGGGCAAGTAGAAGTCATTTAGGCCTTATTTAGGCTATTTAGGATGAAAATGCGACCTTAAACTTTGAAAAATGCTCTTTTTACGTAATTTCAAGGCTTATCCACCTATAACTAAGTATAATTGAAATGTTATGAGAAAGAACATGGTCATTAGTTAAAAAATGTAGAAAATGGGCAAGTAGAAGTCATTTAGGCCTTATTTAGGCTATTTAGGATGAAAATGCGACCTTAAACTTAGAAAAATGCTCTTTTTCTGTGATTTCAAGGCTTAGCCAACTATAACTAAGTATAACTGACATGTTATGAGAAAGAACATGGTCATTAGCTAAAAAATGTAGAAAATGGGCAAGTAGAAGTCATTTAGGCCTTATTTAGGCTATTTAGGATGAAAATGCGACCTTAAACTTAGTAAAATTCTCTTTTCCTGTGATTTCAAGGCTTAGCACCCTATAACTAAATATAATTGATATATTATGACAAACAAAATGGTCATTAGTTAAAAAAATGTAGAAAATGGGCAAGTAGAAGTCATTTAGGCCTTATTTAGGCTATTTAGGATGAAAATACGACCTTAAACTTAGAAAAATGTTCTTTTTACGTAATTTCAAGGCTTATCCACCTATAACTAAGTATAAGTGACATGTTATGAGAAACAAAATGGTCATTAGTTAAAAAATGTAGAAAATGGGCAAGTAGAAGTCATTTAGGCCTTATTTAGGCTATTTAGGATGAAAATGCGACCTTAAACTTAGAAAAATGTTCTTTTTACGTTATTCCAATGCTTAGCCACCTATAACTAAGTATAATTGACATGTTATGAGAAAGAACATGGTCATTGGTTAATAAAATGTAGAAAATGGGCAAGTAGAAGTCATTTAGGCCTTATTTAGGCTATTTAAGATGAAAATGCGACCTTAAACTTAAAAAAATGCTATTTTTACGTGATTTCAAGGCTTAGCCACCTATAACTAAGTATAATTGACATGTTATGAGAAAGAACATGATCATTAGTTAAAAAAAATGTAGAAAATGGGCAAGTAGAAGTCATTTAGGCCTTATTTAGGCTATTTAGGATGAAAATGCGACCTTAAACTTAGAAAAATGCTCTTTTTACGTGATTTCAAGGCTTAGCCACCTATAACTAAGTATAATTGACATTTTATGAGAAACAACATGGTCATTAGTTAAAAATGTAGAAAATGGGCAAGTAGAAGTCATTTAGGCCTTATTTAGGCTATTTAGGATGAAAATGCGACCTTTAACTTAGAAAAATGCTCTTTTTACGTGATTTCAAGGCTTAGCCACCTATAAATAAGTATAAGTGACATGTTATGAGAAACAACATGGTCATTAGTTAAAAAATGTAGAAAATGGGCAAGTAGAAGTCATTTAGGCCTTATTTAGGCTATTTGGGATGAAAATGCGACCTTAAACTTTGAAAAATGCTCTTTTTACGTGATTTCAAGGCTTATCCACCTATAACTAAGTATAATTGAAATGTTATGAGAAAGAACATGGTCATTAGTTAAAAAATGTAGAAAATGGGCAAGTAGAAGTCATTTAGGCCTTATTTAGGCTATTTAGGATGAAAATGCGACCTTAAACTTAGAAAAATGCTCTTTTTCTGTGATTTCAAGGCTTAGCCACCTATAACTAAGTATAACTGACATGTTATGAGAAAGAACATGGTCATTAGCTAAAAAATGTAGAAAATGGGCAAGTAGAAGTCATTTAGGCCTTATTTAGGCTATTTAGGATGAAAATGCGACCTTAAACTTAGTAAAATGCTCTTTTCCTGTGATTTCAAGGCTTAGCCACCTATAACTAAATATAATTGATATATTATGACAAACAAAATGATCATTAGTTAAAAAAAATGTAGAAAATGGGCAAGTAGAAGTCATTTAGGCCTTATTTAGGCTATTTAGGATGAAAATGCGACCTTAAACTTAGTAAAATGCTCTTTTTGTTTGATTTCAAGGCTTAGCCACATATAACTAAATATAATTGACATATTATGAGAAACAACATGGTCATTAGTTAAAAAATGTAGAAAATGGGCAAGTATAAGTCTTTTAGGCCTTCTTTTAGACCGTTTTGACCTAAGTATTTAATTTCTTACATATTTATTACTCACATGTTTAACTTAACTAATTAATTTAATTCATTCTAACATAATTTATATATATTCCAAGTTTTTCAAGGTGCAAAAGGGAGATCCGTTAACAAGCAAGGACCTTAATGAAGTTCGAGACATGTTGGCATCTTTCATCACCTTCAATTTGTAAATGTGGCATCATTTTGAATTTATACTTTGGTAATCATTAACTTTTAGACTACAATATTGAATAGTTAGTATTGTTTGTATTTATGTATATATCACACTTTATTTGTTGTATTGCATTTGGTTTTTAATTATAAATGTCTAAATATATATTTTTAATTCTTGTTATGATTATTAATAATAATTATATTATGGCAGAATTTATAGCAATAATATGGCAGAATATTATAGCAGGATCAGTTGCAGGAATAATTGCAGGCAAAAAAAAAAATAGATCCCTATTATTGCCACCGGTTTACCGGTTCAAACCGGTGGCAAAAGTCAGTCTTCCAATCCAAAAAAAAAACCGCGCCATTTACATTGCCACCGGTTAACCGGTGGCCATAATTATTATTGTGGCCTTGCGTTGCTTTATTTCCACCCCCCAAATGACCACCGGTTCAAAACCGGTGGCAATGGGGGGGGGGGGTTTCAACCGGTGGCCATTACATATTTTCGCCTAGTGATATTTTGACATATATTTTATTTCATGAAGAACATGGATATTACTCAAGTTCAATTTGCTATGAATGGTGAAGAATTATGTCTTGCTGACAGTGCAACTACTCATACAATACTTAAAAAAAAAAATATTTCTCTCATTTGATAATGAAAAGGATTAATGTGAGTACCATATCGGGTAGTACAAATACCATTGAGGGCTCCGGAAGAGCCACTATAATATTGCCTTGGGGAACTGAAATTAAAATAATTGATGCTTTATACTCCCCATTGTCTCAAAGAAATTTATTAAGTTTTAAATAATAACGAATTTCCTTTAAATCACAAATATAAATCAAGGCTCAAAACATGTTTTGGAGAAACTACCTACATTCTTCAGTGGTTTGTACTACACAAAAATCAATGCAATTGAAGCTCATGCTATAGTAAACCAGAAGTTTACTGATAATTTTGTTGTTTGGCATGACCGGTTAGGCTATCTCGGTTCAATAATGATGCGAAAAATAATTACGAATTCATGTGGACATTCTTTGAAGAGCCAACAGATTCTTCATAATGATTTTTCATATGTTGCTTGCTCAGAAGGCAAGTTAATAATTCGCCCATCACCAGCTAAAATTAATTTTGAATCAATTAGTTTTCTGGAACATATACAAGGTGATATTTGTGGGCCCGTACATCCCCCATGTGGACCATTTAGATAATTTATGGTTTTAATTGATGCATCAACTAGATGGTCACATGTGTCTTTGTTATCAACTCGTAACCTGGCGTTTGCGAGATTACTTGCCCAATTGATTAAGTTACGGGCACATTTTCCAGATACTCCCATTAAGGCTATTCGGCTTGATAATGCTGGTGAATGTACATATCAAGCTTTCAATGATTATTGCATGTCCATTGGAATAAATGATGAACATATTGTAGCTCATGTTCTACACAAAACGGTCTGGCAGAGTCGTCATTAATTAAACGTATTCAGTTAATTGCTAGACCATTGCTTATGAAATCCAATCTCCCAATTTCTTCTTGGGGACATGCTATATTACATGCAGCAGCACTAATTCGCATTAGACCAACAAGTTATCACAAGTTCTCCCCATTACAATTGGTTTATGGTCAGGAACCAAATATTTCCCATCTAAGAATTTTTGGA